CTGATCATAGAGGACACATCCCATGGTGGTAGCTTTGGGTAAGTTAATGTGGTCATGTACCCTTTTTGGCTCACATAATGCTGATCATTCTAGAGGTCTTGCGGTGTATGATGGCACTAGAATGATTCTTTACTCATGCTGGGGTGATGAATCCCAGCAGGTGCCTGGAGACCTGGAAGGCTGCAGCTTCCTGTTGCTCTTCCAGGTTCTCCTTCCTTCCTTGGGAAAGGTGATACTTTGCTATGGCTTTTTTTTTCATTCCTCTAGGTAGCACTGTGGCATGGGGAGATGTAACATTGTGGAGATCTGCTGGTACACAGTTCATGTTGGCTAGCTTGGTAAAGGTGAGTCAGTGCCCCACCAAGCAGACCGTCGGCACTCAACCCAGACCAGACCAAAAGGGAATCAACGGAGAACTCTTCTGCTTCCTGGGCATGCTAGTTCCACCTTGCGGTGTTAACGGATAGCGTGTTTTTGAAACCAGGGGCGCGGTACGTATCAGCCTTCCCAGGTTCCGCCTTTAGGAACAGCACATGGGAAAGGTGACTCTAGGACTCAGGAGTCTTAAATGCAGTCCAGTCTTCTATGAGGAATAGCCTCACACACAACATGCACACCAACTGGTATTCTGTTTTCAATTTTACAGCTCCACTCCTAACTGCGAAAGGAGTGAATGTTAATTTCAGGAAATCTTCAGCTTAAAGGTCTCCTTAACAGCCTCAACCTCTTAAGACCTGAACTCTTGTATTATTAAATACTTTGATTTTTGCAATAGGTCAATTAGGTCCCAATCAGCCCAAATATAAAATTTGTTTTACATGATGTAATTGAGAAATGTCCACATATGAGGACACTCAATTTAAATTGCCATTCTCTTAATTAATGAAATCCAAAACCTTTCTTTAGTTTCTGTTCACATTAGCATTATTTCTGAGTTCACTATACACAGTAGTTGTGACTGTTGCAGCAATGTGTCCCATTCAAAGTACTACTAACAGGTATGGGAAGACATGGGTCCTGTTTGTTATTACGCAATAGCCATCCCCGCCCTTATCTCACCACTCATCGGACTGACTACTGACCAGTTCTCTAACGGGTCCGGAAAATCTCTGAAACCCGGGTCTTACCCCAAAGTTGGTTTATAAGAGATATTCTATTTAAACTGGTGGTGGAAAAGACACGTCTAGCTCTAACTACCTACAATCCAGAAGTTATGACCCTTTTCAGTTGAGAAACAGTCAGCTGAGTAGCTCTCACAGCTGCATAGCGCCAACAACCACTCCTGTTAACGGTAGCTCTTTTCCTTAAAATAACGGCACTTAACGGCTAGATTAGATTTAGTTACTTAGACTTAAGTCCCAGGGTCATTATTTTCACACTCGCCAAAAGGAAAGTACGAAGCTCTAGAATCATGTAAGCTAATTTTACTATAATCAGGGGAATCTACAATGATCAAACGACTCAATTAATCTCGATGTCCACAATTTCTATTGATATTTTTAGAATTAAGCAAGCTTTAGCAGGGGTAATGACAAGCAGATTTACTTTCAGAGATTACAAACTTGTAATAAGACAATAAATTCAAATTAAGATCAATCATAACCTATTCTAATTTCTATTTCTATCCTGTGTCACTAGTTTCACTAAGCGAGGCTTTTAGGGGGCAGTTCAACTCACACCCGATGACAATTGATCTCAGCAGCTGAGATCTTCAGATGTCCTTGGTCAGAGTCTCTTGTCCTGATGGAGCAAAGTCCTCTTTCAGAAAAGAAGCAAAGCCGAACTGTCCGTTCTTTCAAACGCACAGAATCTTTGTCAATCAGTGACCTTTGTCTTTTCTCCAAGTCTGCTGGAGTAGGATAG